GCTACAACCGGAGATAGGGGGAGCCCATTGGGGTGAGCTCAGTTTGTTTGTAGAAAGTTCCATTCCAAGTGAAGTTTGTATTGGTTAAGCAGTGTCTCACCAGGGGGGGTACCTCAGTGTTTAGTCCTTGATGAACCAAGTCTTCAATGATTGCGATGGTGTCAGGTACAGGAACTTTGGTGAATGAGGAAACTACATCAAAACTGACAAGCAGGTCATCTGGGGACAGGGAAAATACCCTTGATTGTCGATACCAGGTGAGTAGAATTTTGTACCGCAGAGGTGTTTTTCCAGTGAAAGGTCGCAGGATTTCAGACAGAAATGAGCCAGTTTGTAGGTGGGGGAGTTGATAGTAGAGACGATGGAACGAAGGGGTGTATCTACTTTATGTATTTTTGGTAAGTTGTAAAATCTTGGTGGCCTGGCAGCAGGTTTCAACGAGAACTGTTTGGTTTGATCAATTAATGCGGTTGAATCAGAAATGATTTTGTTGGTTTGTATGACAAGGCTGTTGGTGGGATCTCTTTTTATTTTATCGGTAAGACCAACACCTCGGCCGTGGCAGATCACTGTTATAATTCAGTAGGCTCACATGACATTGACTTCTCCAAGACAGGTTCTTTGCAAGCCATCTGGCTACCATGAGAAATTTGTTCATGAGTCTGTCCATATATACAAACACAGAGACAATTTCAACCGAGAAAATGGATTCTGGCTTAGCAATCATTGGAAGGATTTGATAAACCATTTCGGTTCTTAATTGATTGTTCACGCTTACGGTGGCTTTCAGACCGCATCCATTATTTTCGTCTCCCCTCTCCTCTTTTCCGAACATAGATGGACTCGTCCATCTGAATAACTGACAAATCGCTCTCTGTGTTGCCAACGTAAACAAAAACGCCACTTTTTTCAAATTTTCTTGCTGTGGTTTTCACACCTGATGATGATTGCTTGTGTTGCAGTCGAAACGTCGTGAGAATTTTATTGTTTTATATTTTTATTATTTTATTGTTTCCCTTCTACATGACTTTACCGAAAGAATCAAGAATATGAATCCCTGCAGTCACGAAAGCTTGAAATCAAAATTAAACCGGCTCTACGGGGAGGGTTTCCACATAACTTTGAGATCCTTCAACAAACTCCAGGATAAGAAGGCTCTGCTGATCGAGTCTCTCATCTTTCTGAAGAGATGCCGCGACTCTGGGGTAATGCCAATCGCATTTACACTGACCTCTGCTGCTGTAATTTCTTCTAATGTGAAACGAATTCTTTCCAGAACTAGCTTAGCTCTTATCTCAGAGAAAATCAGACTTATACGCACCGAACAAGATCAGTTAGACAAGACACTCTACAAATCACACTTATCATTGACGGCAACAATGTCCACATCGGATTGGGAACATGTAGACAATATGACTGCCTCTTCAGCTGCCACTATGTCGACCAAATGTAAGGACAACCTGATTTCCAAATTTAACCTCCTCTCCAACAAAAGACCGGACCCACACACCAAAAAGCTAGACGTTAACAAAGTCGCAATTAATCGCAGTAACAGTTCTATTTCCGATGGTCTGAAATACGTTTTAACTTAAGGGTTAAACTTTGCAGTCACACCTAAACACATACCAGTTAATGATATCATTGCCCAAGTAGACGTGGCTCTCAAGGGCCTGGGTCACATCGCTGCAGACGTAGCAAGATCTGAAATCGCTGCAACCCTCAAAAACGCTAAGATGCCAGCTAGCAACCTCAGCAAAGATGAGTGTTTTGAATTATGTAAATTAAAAGAGGGATGACATTGTCATCCTCTCAGCCGACAAGGGCAATGCCACTGTCATCATGGATAAGATAGACTATAACAACATAATTCAATAATTACTCAACGATGGCAGCTATACAAAAATAAAAAGAGATCCCACCAACAGCCTCGTCATACAAACCAACAAAATCATTTCTGATTCAACCGCATTAATTGATCAAACCAAACAGTTCTCGTTGAAACCTTCTGCTGCCAGGCCACCAAGATTATATGGGTTACCAAAAATACATAAAGTAGATACACCCCTTCGTCCCATTGTCTCTACTATCAACTCCCCCACCTACAAACTGGCTCGTTTCTGTCTGAAATCCTGCGGCCTTTCACTGGAAAAACCACCTCTGCGGTACAAAATTCTACTCACCTGGTATCGACAATCACGGGTATTTCCCTGTCCCCAGACGACCTGCTTGTCAGTTTTGATGTAGTTTCCTTATTCACCAAAGTTACTGTACCTGACACCATCGCAATCATTGAAGACTTGGTTCATCAAGGACTAAACACTGAGGTACCCCCCTGGTGAAACACTGCTTAACCAATACATACTTCACTTGGAATGGAACTTTCTACAAACAAACTGAGCTCACCCCAATGGGCTCCCCCCTATCTCCGGTTGTAGCCAACATTTTCATGTAGAAATTTGAGACTGACGCCATCCAGACTGCCACTCTGCGCCCAACCTTATGGAAGAGGAACGTGGATGACCCTTTCGTCATCTGGCCACATGGCCGGCCTGCTCTAGACCAATTCCTCGACCACATCAATAAAATACACCCAGCCATCAGATTTACTATGGAAGTCGAAAAAGATGGCAAACTACCTTCTTTGGATGTCCTAATAAAAAAGAGACCTGATGGTTCAATGAGCCACTCTGTCTACAGGAAGGCTACCCATACGGATGCTTACCTGAAACCGGATTCCCACCACCATTCATCCCAGAAGAATTCCCTCATCAAGACTCTGCACCATAGAGCCCAATGCATATCCGACCAGGAACACATAGCCAGTGAACTCAAGCACGTACACCAAGCTCTTAAGGCTAATGGTTACTCCGACTACACAATCCGCAAAGCTAACACTCCAACCATGAAGAAGGACTCTCTTGAGGAGTCTTTCAAAACCATCACTTTACCCTACATTGCGGGGATCACAAAAAAGATCTCCAAAATCTTGAATAAACACAAGACCAAGGTCCGATTCAACACATTACATGAAATCCGTGATCTGGTTCTGTCTGTAAAAGATGTGATTCCTGACATACAATACCCTGGTGTCTACAAACTAAGTTGCCTCTGTGGTAGTAGTTACATTGGTGAAACCAAACAACGTGTCTCGGACTGCATTCGTGAACACAAAGCAGACCTAAAACACGGTAGGACCAACACCTCGACCGTGGCAGATCACTGTTATAATTCAGTAGGCTCACATGACATTGACTTCTCCAAGACAGAGGTTCTTTGCAAGCCATCTGGCTACCATGAGAGATTCGTTCATGAGTCTATCCATATATACAAACACAGAGATAATTTCAACCGAGAATATGGATTCTGGGTTAGCAATCATTGGAAGGATTTGATAAACCATGTCGGGTCCAAATTGGTTGTTCACGCTTACGGTGGCTTTCAGACCGCATCCATTATTTTTGTCTCCCCCCTCCTCTTTTCCGAACATAGATGGACTCGTCCATCTGAATAACTGCCAAATCGCTCTCCGTGGTGCTGACGTTAAAAAAACCGCCACTTTTTTCAAATTTTCTTGCTGTGGTTTTCACACCTGATGATGATTGCTTGTGTTGCAGTTGAAACGTCGTGATAATTTTATTGTTTTATATTTTTATTATTTTATTGTTTCCCTTTTACGTGACTTTACCGAAAGAACCAGGAATATGAATCCCTGCAGTCACGAAAGCTTTAAATCAAAATTTAGTAGATTATAATTATCACGTCAACCAGAAGTAGTGACAATTCACTCCCTCCCACCTAAGGAATTGTAGTCGTTACATTTCTCATTGTTTTACATTTTGCTGAATGAGAGCGCCACTAGTGGCCACAGCAGCGCCGTGAACCCATCTCGGTAACAACAACAACAGTCGCACTGACACGTTCGCTTGGTAACCCTGCAGGCGACCCTTGCAAGAGATCCGGCGAAATAGCTTCAATACATCCAACAACGCGACGCGTCCATCATTAAACACGCGAGTTTCGATAAGCGCACCAATGTGCTTACGAATGGATACACTGATGCATCATCCACTCGCCGAAGACACTTCACCGCCTGCTGTAAAAACCAGAACCCGTGTTTGTGTGTGTGCGGGGGGGGGGGGGGTGCTCTGTCACAGTGGTTCACACTGCAAAGCAGAGTGGGAAGGAATCATTTCACGCTCTCCCCATGTCAAACTCCGTTGCGATGCGATGCCCGCATTCTGTGTGCGAGACGTGGGCCGTGGCTCTCCAAGGTTCGTGTTCGTGACGGCAAGCGGTATCATAGAGCGGTATAATAGAGCGGTATCATAGAGCGGGCATGCGTTTTGGCAGTGTAAAAAAAAAACGCCACGTTTTTCAAATTTTCTTGCTGTGGTTTTCACACCTGATGATGATTGCTTGTGTTGCAGTCGAAACGTCGTGATAATTTTATTGTTTTATATTTTTTATTTTATTTTATTGTTTCCCTTCTACGTGACTTTACCGAAAGAACCAAGAATATAATCTACTAGTTTATCCTTCCTAAAGATGTAATGCAGCTTATAATTGTATATACGTACACAATTGGAGCATGGTCACAGTGGTTAGCGCACTGCGCTATGAAAGCGACTACCTAAGTTCCATTCCAGGTTACAGTCCTGCGGTTGCGCTGCTGTAACACTATCCGATGTGTTTCATGGTTGACAAACGCGCTGCACTTGCCACATTACGAAGCAGGGCACATTGACAGACACATACTGAATAGGTTCCAAGGGCGTCGAGCGAAACGTCGGACGTCGTCACGCGCGCCCCCCCCCCCCCCCCCCTGAACACCACGCGCTGCGACCCCGGGCGAGCTTACACGACACGTGGTGCGAAACGTCGGACAACATCGCGCCTGAACAGCACGCTGGAAGCGATGACGCCTGTCGCCGCTCGGCACCCCTCCTCCGTGCGTGCGCGTGTGGCGACCGCTGCCTCCTCCTCCTCCTCCTCATCCCACGGAGAGAGAGAGAGGGAGAGCCGGTGCACAGAACGCGCTCATCACAGAGCCACCAAACCGGGCAAGCCCCTCCAAATATGGGCAGAGGCAGGGAGCTGCGCCGAGTATATATACACAATGTGTGTGTGTGGTGGTCGTGACGGAGAAGCAGGGGAGGGTTGTGTAGCGACGCTTGTCACTCAGCTTGTACGCACACACACCTACACGGGCACATATAGCACACACACGCACCTGCCTATATAGCACATATATAGCGTATACTGTACACACACACACATTCTGCACATATATATTTCATACATACACACACACCTATCATACACAAACACATACACCGTACACACCTACTCATAAATATCACGTAGCCTACACCCACGCACACCTACACAGATCTACCACATTCCACACGCAGTCGGCACTCGCGCCTGCACATATACACAGTGGGAGGCCACACGCAGCCGCGTCTACAGCGTGGAGAGATGTCAGCTCGTACTACGACTGCGGATAGGAAATACTTGGAGAACATCTCTGGCGAGGGGAAATGCATCGGTGTGCTGACCAGCGGCGGGGATGCCCAAGGTAGGGGGTCGAAGAGGATTTCCTTCACGCATTCGTTTTTTTACAGTCGTCACGCGTACTGCACCGTCCAGCAGTGGACCGACAACCGGGGCTGGAGACATGCTTTGCGAATTTGTGATAAGCTTAGGGGGGGAGGGGGGGGTGTCACAACCGGGGCCGTTGCAGTTACGACAGTGTCATGTTGAGAAATGTCATTGCTCGTCCACCCATGCACTTTTTTTGATGTATTCTCATACGCATCCGTTTGGTGAATGTGCGTGGTGCGTGTGACAAGCCACTCCGCGTGCGGTACAACAATTGCAGTCACTGGCTGCAGATGTCAACGATGCAGTCAGTAAATGATTCCACCTTCTCTCTCTCTGCTCTGAAGAAGGGCCATTGCCTGAAACGTCAGTCTACTATATATTAGAATGTAATATTTATCGGCAGGTTTAAGCCTGGATATTGCTTGTATGGGTGACCGCTCTGCACCAGGTTGTCCGCGATGAGCTCTCGTCTCGTTACGGAGACTTCAGTCGATCAATAAATCAATTCAGCCAATCTCAGCTTGCTTGCACACTACCCACCTGCACGAGCGTCGCGGAGATGGAGTGATGGAATCGGCTTGTTGGCAGGAGCTCGGTGAATGATTGCATTGTGTGACCATGGGAGATAGCGACGGCTGGCGTAAGTTTTCATCCAGCAGTGGATGCCTCATGGCATTTGACGACGGATGAATAACCTACATATGCATGGTTACATCATCGCCCAAAACAATGTTGTATGTGTAGAGTACAGGGACATTGTCTATATACACTATTGTACACACACACACACGTACATAAATACACACACGCACAATTGCCCTGCCATGACTTTGGGGTTGACAAAATAGTGAACATGTGTTGCAGAGAGAGAGAGAGGGACAAGGAGCCACACTCCTCCCTGATTTGCCAGCGGCTGATGCAGAGAATATAGCGTTGGATGACGTCAGGGCACATTTATTCGGCAGACGTGCTCTCTCTCTGCGAGAAGAGAGAGAGCACGCGATCTCGAGACACACACACACAGAGGCACACACACACAGAGACACAGAGAGAGAGATACACAGAGAGAGAGACACACAGAGAGAGAGAGACACACACACACAGAGGCACACACAGAGAGAGACACACAGAGAGAGACACAGAGAGAGAGAGACAGAGAGAGAGACACACACAGAGAGACACAGAGAGAGAGACACACAGAGAGAGAGACACAGAGAGAGACACACACAGAGAGAGACACACACAGAGAGAGAGAGACACACACAGAGAGGCACACACACACAGAGAGACACACACAGAGAGACACACACAGAGAGAGACACACACAGAGAGAGACACACACAGAGAGGCACACACACAGAGAGAGAGACACACACACACACAGAGACACAGAGAGAGACACAGAGAGAGAGACACAGAGAGAGAGACACACACAGAGAGACACACACAGAGAGAGACACACAGAGAGAGACACAGAGAGAGAGACACACACACAGAGAGAGACATACACAGAGAGACACACACAGAGACACACACAGAGAGAGACACACACACAGAGATGCACACACAGAGAGAGACACACAGAGAGGCACAGAGAGAGAGACACAGAGAGAGACACAGAAAGAGAGAGACACACAGAGAAAGCGGTTGCGTTCGCACCAACGTCTTAGACGGAGAAAACGCAAATCACAGCGCGCGTGCAGCAGGTGCGAGGCGCACCACTCTGCGTGGCAGCTCGGGGAGGCATTCATCCAGCAGTGGATTTTGACCACTACTGTTCACCATGATGGTATCACACACGAGGCTTCCTAATGCCAAGGGATGCTGCTTGCCACTACAGTAGCGTATTCTTGGATATTTCGGTAAAGTCACGTAACTAGAAAAAAAAGTGGAAATAAAATAAAAATAAGATAAAATTAAAATAATAAAATAAATATTATTTAACAAAAATAAATCTTATTATTTTCATGATTTTATTTTCATTTTTGTTTTTTGTTTTCTATTTACGTGACTTTCCCGAAAGAACCAAGAATTTGAATTCCTGCAAGTCACGAAAGTTTAAAGTCTAAATTTACTACAGTAGCGGTTAATGCATGAGCGCACTGGAGTATTGCGATCCGTGGGTCGATTCGATGTCTCCCGGCGTGGCATTGAAGACAATGGGACAAGCTCATTGTATCCCCCCCCCCCTGCCTCAGCTCAGCCAGCGGTACGAATGGATGCGCTGGAACAAAGTGTGGGTACTCCCACCTGTGCCAGGACGTCTGGCCATCGTGGAAGAGTAGGCCAAATATACCAACTTGATGCTCCTAGTGGAGGCCCGTCCACCAGCAGAGGAGCGAGCGAGAGATGCCAGGGACGCTGCGGTGGCTATGAGATGTTTACTACCTCGCCTGGTATGCAGGAGGTCGTGGCTTCGATCCCGACGCTTGACGCCTGTTGTACATTTGCAGTTTGCGCGTCTCTCTCCCCGTGGTCGCGTGGATTTTTCTGCGTGTCCTCCGGATTTTTCCCTCCACCCCTCCACGTTTAGAGAAAAAAAACATCACGCGTTTAGAGTATTTGGCTGCTATAAAATAATGTCCACATGATACGCCACTTATTTGAGCTATCATTTGTGGCCAGGCCGCTATATCGTTTAGTTTATAGCACTGTTAGCAAGAGAGGTCTTCATGTCCATCATTGAGAGGTGAATTAGCTACTTGAACTCACCTCCTGCCGACATTAGTTTTTTTTGACAAGCCTAAAAATGTTTAATAACGGGAATATAATATACGTAATTGTACTTTTTGGCGTGTGATCTATAAAGGCGCTTATCGAATTACACATGCTTAATTGAATTCCTGGGATAGCAGGGCTCAAAACTGATTTTACAATTACAACTTCTGAGTTCTGAGGAAATGTTAACGGAAAGTACGTTTAGGGTTAAGGGGAAACAATTTTTTAACTTCTGAAACGTAACCATGGAAACGGTTACGGAAATGCGAGTTCATAAACCATGCTATAATACTGTACTGTATTCACAGGATAACAACACACATTTTTCACCTCGGTATTTTTCAAGCAAAAGTTGGGGTTGTGTCTTGTAATCCGGTAGCTGTGTGCGTGTAACTCGATCTGTGTAACAGTTGTGATGCCGAGGCAACGCTGCGGTTGCGTCTTTCTGTAGATGAATAATCCTAAGAATCCGGTTACGATGATGACAACAAACAAACAACGTGTTTATCAAACAGGGGTAAATATCTCTGAAATATACATCACACAATGGAGCAAACCTTAGCGGGACCCCAGTGAAACAAAGTCTACCCAGAACATTTACAAATAAATTGTCACGCGCTTGACCGGTTGATAATTGGCTAAAACGTTTTGAGAAAAGTATGGAAACGATGACCACAAATTATACTTTGAACTCTTGTTTTTTTTTACACGTGTTTTTGTATGTCCAGAATACTACGTGACCCCGTGATAACCTCCCAGTTCACGTTTTCATGTCATCGGAACGCTCGGCGTCATTCAACAGGGTACCTGACAATATCAGGTCACCGAACCCCAGGTCAACACATCACTGCTAGTGAAGTGCACTACGTGTACAGCCAGCTCTGTCAATCTACTGCTGGATGAGGACCTCCCCGCCCCACGTCGTGCGGGTCGTCGGAATTATTTGACCAAACTTCAACACACCAGTCAGGGCGGGTTGGTGACGGCAGGTACAGCATAGAGGTTGGAGCATAGTACAGTACAACAGTTGATTATTGCTGCACTGCCCAACTACTCACAACGTATCCCCGCGGCAGCCTACAACGGCCTCTTTAAATGCAGTGAATAATGATACAGTATTCACGAACAGTCATTTAAGATCAGTGTTGAAACAACAAAGTCCCTTTGGGCTGCCACTTCCGGATCACTCTTAATCTTGATAAAAAGAAACACACAAAGAGGAATAATAATCCATCTCCGGGCAAAATAAAGGTTGATTGGGTTTTCAGATAACGGGAGCTGTGGGTAACAGGGCGATGATGTTCGCAGAAAACAGCACGTGCCATGTATAATTCAATACATTATACTCTGCCTATGTTTGTTCTGCTAAGCTTGTTTCCGACAATCAATGGGAATGGCCCAGCTCGTCAACCTGGCAACTCTCGATCGCTTGAAGAATGAGATCCCAGGCATCGGCAAGGAATGTTTCTAGGAAATAAATTAAAAAAACGAAACACAACTCTCAAATGTGGCAGGGGTCGGGGTCATTTCAGTTTTAACATTTCCAATTTCCCCACGAACGTCCCTCAATTAGTGCCACTAAAGGGCATTTGCTCAACCCACACTAACAGAGCCTAGCTGGCAACAGTGCACGCGAAGTGGCCCAGTCGTTCTGGGAGGAAGACGAGGAAGGAGGTCCGATTAAGGGGGGGGGGGGGGGGGGTGGTGAATTGCGCAATAATAACCCCCCTCGCCATTGCTGCCTCCCCGGTCACAAACGAAGCCCGGTGGCGCAGTAACGAATGGCGGTCACGCGTGGCTTGAGAAGGCGACTCCAAAGCCCTGTCATTATGAATCTTCAAACGCGTTGTGAGCGTGCCCTCCCCTCCTGCTCCCCCGCCCCCTCGCGTTGGGGAGAGGCCACCACGACACCGACCGAGTCAGTTTCCTCGGTCACGGAACTTTGAAACGAGTGAGTTTACTGTACAGGAAGCGATGATGTCCCATAGACAAAAATGAAGGCTGGAGAGGGGGGGTGGGCTGTGACGGACGCACGCCAGCCAAGCAACGTGTCTGACTTGTATGTCCGCTGGGGACATGAAGTGGTGGAATGCCCTCGTGTGCTGAAATCCGATAGATTTTATGCTATTCAAACTGGTTTTTTTTGTCCCAGGTAAGGCCCCACTGAGCTATAATAGCGCTCTTTTTTTCCAGAAGCGACCTGGTTTTCACAAATTATAGCCCAACGAAGTGGCTTATCACGTGGAAATGTATCGCAGCAAAGGGGTATTTTTAAATGTTGGACCCGATTTGAAATCGCTATATCTCTGCAACCACGAACCGACCATAAATGAAACTCTTACCACTTGAAAGGGCGAAGCATAGAGTTTCAAATGATTACCACGAGATACCTCTCCCAGCGCACAAACAGCCCCTAGCCTCAGTCATTCGCAAAAGACAACACTGCCTCAACGTTGGATAGGTCGCACGGGACCCCTAGACTTGGCGCTACACTCTTGGCCCCCAAGATCCCCAGACATCACCCTGCGACTTTTTCTTGTGGGGATACGTCAAAGACCCGTGGTGTTTTTGTGCCACCATTAGCGACTAATCTGGATGACCTCAAAAACAGAATCACGGCAGCGGTGACTTCAGTGGAAGAAGACACTTTGAGAGGCGTTTGGGACTAATTCAACTATCGTCTCGATGTTGTCCTTACAGCAGGTGAATGGCACATAGAGCATTTATAAAATGGTTAGTAAAACTTGATAACTCATTAAACCGTTTGTAACTTTTTGTGTAATTGTAACATGTTGCCATCGTGAAATATACTGCTTTGAAATTGGCATCCATCCTTTTAAACACCCTGTACAGCAGGCGTCAGGGTCGGGATCGAACCCATGATCTCCTGTATACTAGGTGAGGCATTGTAAACTATAAAGATATTGCAACAGCTTGCGGTGGCCTTCATCCAGCGGTCGATAACTCATGGCCGATGGTGATGAAGATGTATGTTGCTTACATTTCAACCGTGCAGTTCAAATAGCTGTCGAATTATAAATGTTTAATAACGGATGGTACCACAGTTTGTACAATACTCTTAAAACATCTACTGCTCGGTGCAAAATGTCAAATGGGAATACAATAATTTGAAAGTTAAACTTAATTAAAAATTTCACACTTATCCTTTACAAAAGAGGATTAAAATCTAAACCAGATTTATCATGATGACCGACATGCTTAGTGAACTAGCAATGCCAGAAAGAGGCATTTTTCATGGGTGTTTACATTTATCCGGGAAGGCCTCATTGAACCTAAAGAGACTCTCAAATGAGGGTCCTGCATTGGGACATTTGTCAATGTCTTTCTAATGCGCGTTTGCATAATTAACGTGCGATTATGCTGCCGCAAATATGCATTCAGATTTTGCCCCCAAGTAAATGCTTTAATGAACATCTTTTCCAATAGCTACGGGGGCCACGTTATCTAAATCCTGCATCGCACATTACTCCGACATGGATGGCTATGTGCTCGACATATAAGAGTCAATCATAAAACAGAGGGCTGCAAACCTAACGGATTACTCTCACGATCAGCGACGAAAGGTGACGGTCGAGCGATTGTAAAACATCTAAAAGGCCCTCATTAAATATGAATGCGTTTTTTTTTTATTTTTAGAGATGAATATGCTTTGATGAGCTCCCCACATTCAGATCAGGCTTAAATGTCAGCCTCGGCAAAAAATAGGCCACGTTGGAACGGGGTTGATGGCTTGCATGTAAACTAAACTTTTTATCTTGCCAGGTAAGGCCCACTGAGCTATATAACGACCTGGCCACAAGTGATAGCTCAACGAAGTGGCTTCTGTGAAATTTTATTGCAGCCAAATACTCTAAACGCGTGATGTTGATTCTAAATGCGGAGGGAAAAGCCTGAGGACCCGCAGAAAAATACACACGACCACGGGGAGAGAGACACGCAAACTTCAAATATACAGCAGGCGTCAGGGTCGCGATCGAACCCATGACCTCCTGCATACCAGGCGAGGTAGTTAACGTCCCGCCTTGTGATCACTTCGTTGGCATTTAGCTTGAACCCCATTTGTCGAGTCCTGAACCCCCAGAGTCAGCGGCAGCGGTCAGCCATGAGCTGGGCGCGCTTCGTCACGTTGGCGAAGCTCGCGCCAAGTCTGTCGGTGTCACTCGGAGAGTCGCGGTGGGCTGGGGTGGGGGGGGGGCGCACTTTCACCGGGCCACGCCACGACGCAGGCATGCGTGCGTATCGACGCCGAAAACGAACACACTCCACACGAGCCAGTCGGATGATTCCGCGATCGGCTACCGACAGCGGTGACCTTTGTCGCGAATCCGGCAAATGAAATGAGCGTGCGCTGTAATCCCTGGGAGGGGGAGGGGGGCTCCACCGACCAGTTTTCAACTCGCAAGACAGGACTCTGTGGCAACACAGTTGGGATGTAAATTGATTTGCCGGTTCAGCGCGCAACCGCGCCTGCTCTGCAAACCCGCTGCTGGGATTGAGGCCTCGCACAAAGCCGTTGTCCGTCAGGCGGGGGTTGTTTGACCGTATTTCACCACGATGGTCAGTGCTGGTTGTTGTAAGAGGGCGGGCTGGAAGAAGTGGGAGGGCCAGGGCCGGTTAGGATATCACTCGCCACTGGTGTTAGCCGTGACCCGGAGTTGGATTCTCTTCGCCAGATGCGCAGCGCAGTGTGCTGACCACTAATGCCACCGCTCCACCCCAATGAAGAGTACACAGTATTTGTATACAAATTATTACGTCACAGCACAATCTCATAAGCTGCATCAGCAGCCCAAAGCAAAGACTGCACTGCGGGCGCATGATTGGCAGCTCATTTAGTGCCACATTTATGACTCCGACATTGACCAAATGGATGCGTCAACAGCTATGCACGCGGGCGATTTCACGGTAACAGAATTACAGCGCAGCAAGCGTCCAGTATTAGACGCACGGCGATGAAACGGGCCCATTTATGCATTGCAACAGCCCGCCGTGTAATATGGCTCAACGACAAGAGCCCAACATTATACCCATGTTGAATTCTGCGATTGGCGGGTCCAGTGTCCCACGCGGTAATTCCGTTACCGCGAATCACGGTGCAGTGACAGCACGCGGTCAGACGTGGAGCGTTCATCATCAGCCATGACCGATTCACTGCTGGATGAAAGCCTCCCCCAGCTGTCTCCACCTCTCGTGGGTCTCGCGATGCAACAATCCATCTCGCTACTGCACAGGAGCCGACTTTATCGCTCCATCTCCGTGATGAACGTCCACCCTCCCACCCCCCCCCCCCCCCCCCCCGTTGGGTGTGTTCCCTACTTTGCAGTTGTTGTAAACTTTGAAAACAAATAAAATAAATTATATGACTTGTCCCTCGCGAATTTCACCATCATCGTTATGTCATTTCTTCTCGTTTTACAGGAATGAACGCGGCGGTGCGTGCCGTCGTGAGGATGGGAATTTACACCGGAGCCAAAGTTTATTTTATTCATGAGGTCAGTTTTCCGCGCGCACACACTCGCCGCGTGACCCTGCGGGTGCTACGCGCGAGGTCACGCCGCCGCAGGTCGAGCGCGGGGCGAGACGTCTCGGGCCTAACGAGGCGGTGCCACAAGGCTGTGGCGGCCCATGGGTTGCGTAACAAAATAATAGTTAAGATTTTTTTGTTTTAATGCGGAGAGACAATCGCGGGTACGGTATGCAAGTCATTCTGTCACTTATATTTGCCGCACGGACGCCACACGATTATTTTGGGTTTTGTGTTTTTTTTTTGCCGCAAACAAGGACCAGTTTCTTCAAGAAAGGGTCCTTTGCCTATAAACATCGGGCAAATTCACCAGCGTGCTTGAACCAATGTTCAAGCACGCCTGACACTGCTGATGAGGCACTGCATGTCGAAACCAGCACAGCGCTTTGCTCGCGTTAAGTAAGCACAACGAATGAACCCAATCAAGACTTCCTCTTCTCAGGCGACAGTCCCATTTCTGCACGGGGTCAGCTGCAGGGATTGTTCTTATCTCTGTGCTTCTTATTTTGGCCCTCTTCTCTATTAAAAACTAAAATAGTTTAGTTTGAATAGTTTACATCCACTCTACCCTCGTATTTCACTCTGGCGCATCTTCGCATTTCACCCTCGGTCTCTCTCTACTCCTTCCGCCCTGCGAAGGCATCATAAACGAAACTGAGCAAAACTGATAAACATTCAGCCCCCCCCCCCATCCACCACCACCACCACCACCTCTGCCATTTTCCCAATTCCATGAATTGTCATGAAACGCGGGTCACAATTCAATCCGACAGCTAATTTTTGCGTTTGACCGTATGTTGCAAGTAGAGGCTCTCTCTCCTAGCCTGCCGAGTTTGTGCAAACCAATTGCTTACAACATCTACGGATCATGGAAAAAAAATATTATTTCATGCGTCATTTTGTGCGTGTATTTGCGAGCGTAAGCATCGATATTTAATAAATTAATCGATGCATCGTTACAGTGCGCTTGTTTACAGTATACCAAACGTGCACACGTTCATAAAAAAACAAATATTCCACACCAGTCATTCCACCTCGGCCGCTGTCCCCGATGACACGTACGTGATTTAACTATTTAACCCGTGCGGTTAATTCCGCACGGGTTAAATAGCGGTAGCAAGACAGCCGGCTTGTTACCGCGCCAAATTTGCCGTCTCACGACGCAAAATGCCACCCCACGTTGCTCGGGGTCGCCGTGTCAGGGGTCGAGATTTCTGAGCTCTCCGTGATTTAGGGTCTGTCAGTGGCTGCTCACGAGGGCACGTGCCAGGGTGCAGGGGTGCACGGGAGGACAGCACCGTAAATAGGGGGCTCCCACATTTTTAAACTACAATTTTTTAAAATATATTTTTTTTACTTTACCAGGTAAGGCCCACTGAGATATGTAGCTGTTTTTTTCAGAAGCGACCTGGCCACAAGCGGTAGCTCAACGAAAGTGGCTCATGGTGTGGAAATGTAGAGCAGTCAACTAATGTCAACGCGTGTTTCTAAATGTGGAGGGACAAACCCGGAGGGCCCGGAGAAAAATCCCTGTGACCACGGGGAGAACGTGCACACTCCAAATATACAGCAGGGGTCAGGGTCGGGATCGAACCTACGTCCTCCCGCATACCAGGCGAGGTAGTTAACGTCTCGTTACCCTCGCGCCCTTACTTTGGTTTCTGTGTTGTTGGATCTCGGTTTACTGAAAGGTATCCGGGTTTCACAGACTCACATAAAACTAGAAAATCACTTCTTCTGTTTCCACATCAGAGACTGAGTACAAGACAGCCACATAACAATTACAAAGAACAGTCATAGTTTATATAGGTATAGAGCCAGATTCACACTTTGACGAAAGTTCAACTTCATACAATTGTATAGTGAAAACTTATGGATGTCTTCCCTCACACACAACGGGGAAGATCATTGGAGAAAAGTGGTGCGGCCATTTTGATCATCAACATGTTACTGCGATCCCAGTGCTGTACTGCGTGACAAAAATAATAATTAGGTCAGAGGTGAATGCGGCAAAATTAAGCGAGAAACCAAAGTAAGGGTGCCATTGTGGCGAGATATTAACTACTTCTCGTGGTATACAGGAGGTCGTGGGTTTGATCTCGACCCTGACGTCTGTATATTTGGAGTTTGCATGTTCTCCCCGTGGTCGCGTGGATTTTTCTCTGGGTCCTGCGGTTTTTCCTTCCACATTTAGAAACATGCGTTTAGAGTATTTTACTGCAATAAATGTCAACATGATAAGCCACTTTGTTGAGCTATCAATTGTGGCCAGGTCGTTTTTGAAAAACTAGTGTGTGGTTTAGTTTATAATGCTACTATGCACGTGAGTAGTCATCGCTTAGTGGGCAGAGACCTTAAAACCCACAGCACCTGACAATTTGCACGACCGATCAGATCTCAATAGAGCTCGCTCATTATCTTAACACACGAATTCACCTACCCTCCTTCCTGGAATTCTAAGCCGCCCAGCAACCCACCGCCATTTGTGCTTTTAAGCTGCCCACACGGGCAGCTTAACACTTGAAAAGCTGGCCGTTTGATCTTGAATCCTGTGACCCCATAAAAGCCCCATGCAGAGAGAGGAAGACAGTATCACTCATCCGCACAAACCATGGCAGATGCGGATACCCAATGCACAAATTAAGTGCGGCCATCCAGGACAGACCGTACAACGTATAACAACGCAATGCCCCGATCCACAAACACGAAGGAGACATCACCGCGTTGATGATACACTCCACTGCTCCTGATGCTGTTGTCCGGCTTGACCACCTGCATGTGAGATTGTAGTTGCTGCTCTGCATCTGCGTCAGCCGTAAAAAAAAGAAGACTGCTGACCAGTGCAGCTTACTCAGTGGAACGGATAATTTTTTGCGCAAACATCGCCTGCTTTGAGCGCGACACGACGGAAGGTGATCTGTGTTTGCTCTGCCGCCTGGACACAAGCACTCGCACCGGAACACAGATGTTGCTGTGCGGCCGAATGATGCCCCCGCGCGATGCTCGCATTTGAAATGACTCTGGCTGCCGCGATCCCGGCGTGTGATCCCACTCGTATCGGCACGGCCCTCACTGGACAAATGGGCTCATGAACAGGGACGACTTCAAAATAATCGGACCGAGATTAGGAGGGAAACTAACTAAACATTTTGATTTAAAGCTTTCGTGACTGCAGTAATTCATATTTAGTTCTTTCGGTAAAGTCACGTTGAAGGGAAACAACAAAATAATAAAATATATATAAAAAATAAATAAATTTATGCAAACCGACACACCTGAAGACGACCGTTTGTGTTATGGTCGAAACGTCGTGAGAATTTTTATTGTTTTATATATATTTTATTATTTTGTTGTTTCCCTTCAACGTGACTTTACCGAAAGAACTAAGAATATAACTAAACATTGTTTACTTTGATAAATTTTAATTACACTTCCCGCTAGATTTTTTTTGGTCGTTCCGCGTCATTATTAGGTATGATGTCCGACGTTTCACTCCTAGAGGCCATTCTACAATGCAGGGTGATGCACTGCTTGCTCCAGAGTTCCACGTGAAAATGTCTTTGTCGCATTAAATGATGCTGATAGCACAGCGGGAATAAAATTATGGAAAATTAAGGTTATAGCTTCATGGATTGAGGAAATGCCCCCTTTAAGCGTTACAGCATTTCATTCCGATAGCTATTGCTTCCGCATTCCGCACAGCTTACCGGCAGCGCAAGAAAGCCGCCGATGTTTATGAGACACTGCACATTATTTGACGATTGTCACAATTATAAATACAATAAGGCAAAATATCCCCGGGGTGCTCGAAGCAATTTGGCTTCTCTCAAAGTGTGGCTGCCCAGTTTGGTTTGCGTGCCACCTCCGAGCCCAAGCGCCGGTTTGGCTTCTGGGAATCGTGCCGGGGGTTTTTGTTTTATCAAGGCCCTTGGCAACAGTCCGGTTCGATCCCAACCCTGACGCTTGTATATTTAAAGCTTCCATGTTCTCCCCATGGTTGTGTGGATTTTTTTTTCTTCTCCGGGTTCTCTGTTTTTTTTTACTCTCCACATTTATAAGCATGCATTGAAATTATTTGTATTATTTTGTTTTCTGTAAATTTCCATATGATACGCCACTTTGTTGAGCTATCATTTATTTCGGCCAGGCCGCTTATGAAAAATAAGTTAATACCTCAGCGGGCTTTATCCGGCAAGATAAAAAATGATTTAATTAAATTTGTACATTTTTTAAGCGATTTGTTTAACATTCCTATACTTTTCACTCCTATCGCGTTTGTGTAGTATTTGTTGTCGCCTCGTTCTTACCCCGTGCCCCGACTGGACCATCTGCGGGAAAGAGCTTCACAGCTTATCGGATTCCTCCTCCAGTATCAATACCGATTCTGATTTTGACAGGAAAGGAAGGGCGGCGCAGGCTGTGATCAACAGCGCACTGCATTGTGGTCGCCCCCACGTTAGTCTCGCTTTCACGCCGGAAAAAATGTAACCGGAGCAGGCTCTCTCTCTCTCATCCCAATATCTTGTTGACCTCCGTGCGGCCCCCCCGCTCCTCCCCCTAAAACGGATATTGTTGTACTTTAATACGTACCTATGTCATTTACATCTACAGAGGGCATCAGGGCCATGTGGGTGCGCGGGGTGAGTCTGACAGGGAGCGGATGATTAATCCAGGAATGAGCGCGATTGATTGATTTCGTATTGCCTTTGAGCTCTGTTTATTTTTGACGGCAGGATCACGATGGTTAGTTACAAGGAGTTCTTTTTTAAAGTTCCCATACAAATAGCGTTCCTGCAAAAATGCTTTTAAATAAACATTCGGCGAACCGTGTGCTCGTGAAGTGTACATAAATTACATTTAAGTGTGTGCTATGTTTGAAGTAATTCTGTACTGTGTACGCTAAATATATTTAATTGCATTATATAAACATAAACACATTATTCTTGACCATATTCAAATTAATCTCAT